TGGAACGGTGGATTTTTTTGCATTCGATTCAGCACATCAAACTGTACAACATATCCAAAATCCAGAGATACATATTTTTGTTCCACAATAATTCTAGAATGACCGGACTATGTGGGGCACACTGCGCGCGGCCACCTTGCCCTGCTACCTCATCGCATACCAAAACACAATGTCATATGTATATATATATTTCACGCACCGCACCGTATCGATTACAACGGGCTGTGCGGCTCCCCGTCTTCTCTCATTGACTTTTGAAATGATCGCGTTGCGTAGACACACGCACGCACGCACACACACGTAAGTACACACACACGCACACACACACGCACACACACACGCACACACACACGCACGCACACACGCACACGAAGAGGGGAGTCAAGGAGAACGCCGAGTGCCTGGCGATTAATTCCTTCCCGCCGCTTTACGGTAACCTAATCCCCGTCTATATTATTGGGCGAATTCGAATAGCTTTTTGCCCGTGGATAAGAAGGCGCGCGAGTGTGCCGATAGCGCTGCGGTGCTGGCGACAATAATGCTACTTTATGGGACAGCCTCCTCCTCGCATAAAATCGAAATCGTCGGGGACCTCCGCGCGGGCGTGCTGAGAGAAGTGAGAGAAGTAAAAAAAAAAAAGGAAGGAAAAGGACTTTTGCGGGGGCAGTTGCGCACGGCTTTTGTCGTCACCCATTGACGGCCTGAAGAAATACCCTCCACCCTTCATATTCCACACCGTTCACAAAGGGTAGAACTGTGGGAAAACTGCTTCCAAGTTCGTATAGTTGTACTAAGCCGCACCGATTTTCGGGGGAGAGGGTAAACTATGCCATCATGAATACACGAGAATAGTTAGGCAGGTCACGGAAGAGGGGAGAGGGGGGTTAACACTGGCCAAAAAGTGGTAATGTACCGAGTTTAAGGGCTTCCACTGTGTTGTGGGTTTGCATACCCAAGGGGCTATGGCGCCTTACGGGCAGATCGGGTAGGCAAACCCGCAACACTGTGGTGTATTGCCTTCACAGACGGTGTACTATGTGCACGGTCGCTTATAGCACCTTACCGTGGGAGCGAGTAGGAAACCCACCCCTCGTGTGAATGCGATAGTGTAACTTGCTTAACACTTGAAAGTGTGCAACTGCGAGTTGAATACAAGTGTGCAACTCGGTGGGTGTGCACCGGTATGCACTTGTAAGTAACTCCTCCGTGGAGCACTTCCTTTACACAGTGAAATTTTTAATCTAAGGAAGTGTTCAACAGAGGAGTTGCACACTTGCAAGTATTCTACTTGCAGTTGCACACTTCGTTTATCAGTGTTGAAAAGTGTGCAAATCGCAAGTTGAATACTTGCAAGTGTTTACTTGCCTCTGTTCAACTTGGTAATTGTGGAATTGAAAGTGCGAAACTCGAGGTGAAACTCCTCCAACACTTCTTTTATATTGGACGCTACAAGTGGCTACTGGCTTATCGGTCACTGCGTACCGTGTTCGTGTGTCATAGACTGCTATAGCCCTGACACAGTACTAGTGGTGTACGATCTCTATATACGAAAGCTTGAATCTAGATTCTCAAACAGGAGATGATGGGGGTGATGGTTGTGCTGGCCGAAGAGGATGCCTCTCGCAACCCGCCCTGGTGTCGCCAATCCGTATTCAATCCTTGAATCGATGTCCTTCGACAGAGTTGCGACACGTGTCGGCGGACTTTTGCATGCGGGATCGACATCGATTCAAGCCAAATCCGATTTTGAATCTTATTTGTCGAATTTGACCGGACCGTTTGAAGAACGAGAAAGGAACGTGGGCGCTGGTGACGCAGCCGCTCATCGACCACATCGGCAGTACAGAAACGGATATCAAAACGACGTCGGAAAGGGTGAGTATCGACGCCGCGACGATATCGTTTTTCGACGCCGCTTATTTCCATCCACCACTGGGTCGGACCTATCGGCTCCGCGGCGCGTCCGCGCGCGCTGATTGGGACTTGTCTCGTTGTTTTATGGCACCCCCCAGTCCGGCAGTGTCCCGAAGGTAGGCCTGGAGGCTTTGAAGGTCTGAACGAACGTGCGTGGAGCAGCGCGGAGCTGAGCTCTAGCCTCACGGAGTGCCCAGCCTCGCGCCCGCCCGTGCCTGCCCTCGCCCCGCAGCCATTGTTCTCGACACAATCGTCCCCAGGCTGTGATTGGACAGCGTGGACCATGAGCAGTCTCGCCATGTGTCACGTAGATCATAAAATTAGCCCGATCATTATTCCTCCCGCGACTGATAGGCATTTCTTCCCGCTCCGAGCAGCGCTTCGGATGGCTTTACCACGCTCTATGCTGAAATATTTTTCGAAAATGGTACCGAAAATAGCAGGTGCCAAATTGGCCCTGTGCTTTTTTTGTTCATCTGTACCACATTCATGCGTATGTATGGATTGCATATTCTCTCGGTGCCATAATGCGCCAAGGGCGAGCCACAGTATACCGTGCCTAGGGAAGTCCACCTGCTGTATGATTGATATCAATGAAAAAAAGCACGGCTATGGATTGTGGCATGCATTTTTTTTGTTTTTATTTTGGTTTTGTTTTCTATGGATTTGTTGAAGGGTAGCTTAATGTGAATAAAAATACATTTGGTACTCTTTTGTTAAAAATATATTGACATTGCTGGAAAAATAAATCAAGGTAACAATACTGAAGGAGTCCTCTCTCTCTGTCATCATATCGTCTTCAACATGTTAGTTAATAATTAATGAAGATCTCGTATAACAGCTATAACGACATTTACATTTTGGTATGTTCAAATCGTTTAAAATTAAACAACGTAGAGTAAAAAACACTGGTCTTCTTTTCATATTCTTAAACATGGAAGAGAATAAATATGCCACGCAATGATGTTAACAAAAGCATTATGCTGTGCAGGTACGATTTTGACGCATCACACTTCACTTATCTGGCACATCTGGAGAGGCACGTTTGTCATACAGCAACCATGGCACGACACATTTGACACGAAAATATTAAAATACATGGCCGGTCTCATTGCATTCTTGCGAGACTATATAAACATATCAGCAATCATGGCACACTGCTGGCGAACACAGAATAAACATAACAATAACAAACCAATAACAAAATTAACATAGATTTGTTAGTGGACAGAGTACATGGCAGCGTCTACCCGGTGCATATGCAACGTGCGACGTAACGCGAAAAATAAACCTTTATAAGTATTTTGTAACTTTACCAATTTATGAATAGGTGGGCGCTTAAGTGCCTTAAGCTTGACACATATCCCACATAATCTAGTTTTGTAACGAAAATGAAGAGAATTTGGCACCTCAATCAAAATATTTTAAGTGGTTGGGGAAAGTGGCGTCGGGTCGGCCCGCATCCACGCCAGTGAAATATAGCCTCCTCCTGGCCGGGCCGGCGAGCTGTGCCGCCAGCCCGTGGCGTGCGCGTAGGTTGGCACTACAACAAAGCGCGCCAACCCACCGTTGTTTAACGAGTTCGCGGCCAAGATTTTTATTCACCATTCGGTTTCGGGGGAACGACCAGCTTCTCCCCAAAAAGGAACGCTTAGATGCTGCTGGATTTGAAAATTGTTTTTGATCCGCTATCTTTTAGCTGTTAATTGGACGTTTGCGATGAATGAAAGTCGTTTAGAATGCTCTCGGGGAGCTCTCTGCGCACTCGACTGGACTGCGCCAGTCTCGGTGCTGATACGCGTAGCGTGGCGGGCGTGTGCGCAACGCGTGCGTGCAGTGTCCCTGTCCTCCAGGCGTCCAGAGAAGATGTGCTGAGGTATGTGCTCGGTGGCCGGCTCCCTCTCCTATTTTACTACGATGCACTCTGAGCACAGAGAGAGAGAGAGAGAGAGAGAGAGAGAGAGAGAGAGAGAGAGAGAGATGTACACTGCTGTTTGCAAACGCGATGTGGGTAGGCCAGCTGGACGCCTTCCAGAGCGCTACGCCCCGCCACGGAGGCTCATGGTGCCACATTCCTCCGAGTGTCGCTCAACGACCACCGTTCTTTTCTATTCTTCTCGTTTTCCTTTCCTTCCCCCCGTCCGTTTCGATCCCTAGTGGATTCACGGTGGCCGGCCCATGTGCTGCAGCCTGTTTAAGTACTACCAATCAGGCAAAGGCAGCTTTAGAAGGGCGGAAAGGAATAAAAATTTGGCCTCTACGTACTCAGCCAATAAAACTGTGTAACAAGATGACTGTTTACAAGATGACTGTTTCAAATGTAAAACTTTTCAGTTTTACAGTTAAAACTGTTAAAACAGTTAAATCTTGTTACAATTCATTTAGATTTGAAGAGCAAATGTGTTGTTTCTAAGAGAGAAAAGACACTAGATCTTAACCTCACAAATTGTCTTAAAAGAAATACCCTAGGACTTCCTAGCCCTTGTCTACTACGTCGGTCGCATTATAAATCAGTCGCGAGATGACCTCGACGATAAATAACATTTTGGAATATGTTTGCCGGACGTGACGCACGGTGGCGGGGCGTTGTTTCAAACGCCGATCAGAGTTATTGTTTTCCGACTGCGAGCGCGGGCGTCTCCTCTATATCTGAGCGCTGCTCACTTCTAATGCCGATCAGTCATAATTTTTTCTGCTCCCTTTCACTTCCGTTATTAGCAGTCTCATGCCTCTTACTGATTTTTGCTTTACGACCACCAGATTGACGTTGCCACGTATTGTCCTAAGTAGGAATGCTTAATTAAATAACATATAACAAAATTGAAAACTTATCTTAGTCTTTGTAACAAAATGGGATAAAAGATTTCTCAAAACACTAAATTAGGGAAGGCCTCTTTAACACTGCAGTAGGTGATATGTATCGATATCTGTGTAGCCAACTCAGTTGATAAGGAAGTATTTCGTGTCTTTCACTTAATCTAGGAATGGCACACTCTCGAACTTAGAAAAATAAATAACATCCGACAAAAGTTTGAATTGCAGGATCATGGGGAATGTTCAAGGGGAATCAGGCTCCAAAAGTTATACTCATACAGTTCAAATTTATGAACTAATGTTGAACTTCATTGTTTCAGTTCATCGTAGTTCAGTCAAGGTTTATAATAGATAACTGAACCCTTTGAAATGTTTAAAAATAATGCACCGAGGTTCAAGCTATCCCCGCTTGAAATTGTTGGAATTACAATATCATGCGACCATCTCAACCGCTATGTAGTTAACACAATTTTTCAAAGAGAATTTGGGACGGAAATTCGCATTTTGAAAAAAGCGGAGCAAGGCTCATCGTTTTTCAAGACTTATTTGTCAAAACTATTTGAGTGTCTTAAGTACAACAGGAGAACGCTTTGGAACATTCTATATCTTATGAATTAATGGTTAGAGGTAGTCACCCATAGTTTTCGTAAGAAATTTACTAGTAAACGTTCACTTTTCTTACTGTATTAATTGGCATCTTGACAGGTAAGGCACAGGCCACTGCTTTCTTAATCTAATCATTTGTACAAAAATAATTTAAAAATTTACAATTAAAACAAGTGACATTCTTTGACGCCTATTCGATAAACACATTTAAAAAATAAAATCCTATGCTTATTCCTTAAAAATAATAATTCATAACAACAACTGCAAATTTCGTCATCCACCAATCTGTGCGATCTTCAGCCTTGACAAAACCTTATAAATCATGTCCGTCTTGCCACACTCATAACTCACTCACACACCTATACACACACATACATTCACTCTTTCTCTCTCACACACACAAAAGTACATACACACACATACACACGCACTTGAGATTTGTGAGCGTCCCGCACGATTTCATCTTCATGTCGCCTGCTCACTTGGCGCCCTTGGGCATGTGCCTCTTCATGTGCAGCGCGAGGTGGTCGGAGCGCGCGAACGAGCGGTCGCACACGTTGCAGCGGAACGGCTTGGCGCCCGTGTGCTTGCGGTAGTGGCGCGTCAGCTCGTCGGATCGGGCGAAGCGCCACTCGCAGGCCGCCCACTGGCAGCGGTACGGCTTCTCTCCTGCAACAACAGAAAACACGGGCCCGGATTAGAGGAGGCTCAGGCAGGGTGGGACAAGCGTAAGGCGGCCTCGTCATGCGCAGGGCAGCACGCCCGCGGCCCGGTCCGCGGATTCCTTGGCATTTCATTCCCCGTGGTGCGACGGTGCGGTGCCCCGCTCCGCCACCTGACATAGAGAAAGAAAAACACGCGTGAAAGTGACAGAGAGGAGGCTCGGGCGGCGCGAGCTAGCGCGAGCTCTGCAGCAGCGGATCTGCATGCGGGATGACAGACTCTCTCCACAGAAGGGTGACGGCGGAAGAAGGGACGCCGCACGAGCGGACGCGCGAGGCGTCCTTTTAGGCGCGCTGGCTGCGAGGCGTCGCTAGGCGTCGCTAGGCGTCGCGTCGCCGCGCGCGCATACGTCCGGGCCGGTAGCATGACGTGTATACAAAACACATATTGGCACTCGGCGGCGCTGCGGCGGGGAACTGGGAAGCGGGCTGTGGTGTGCGCGGGGTCAAGGACCCGGCGAGTGCACCGCCGGGCACCGCCGGGGCTAGAGCCAAAGCGAGCCAAAGCCGTCTTGTCGCGCCAGTAGCCGGGTCAGGTGGGCTACTCAGCAGGCGCAGCTTGGGCGCAGCCCAGCCCAGCGCCCAGCAGAGCCAAGGGCGGGGTATGTAGAATGCACCCTTCTGCAGCAGGACACGTGTCAGCTGCTCGCCGGCCCGCGCGGGTCCTGCTGGTCGGGACGACCCTTGCCGCACCGGTGGTGTTTGTAGAAGTACGGCGGGAGCAGGATACGCGCCGCAGAGATCGTCCCACAAGACCGTGGGGCTGCGGGTGCGACAACTTGGCGCAGTGAAAAGTATATTTCGGTTTTCCAGGGCAAGGCCCGCCGACAATGAGAAGCAGCAGCAGCAGCTATGACTGTGGCGCCAACAATGCGCTGCGGCCTGGCGACACATTTGCACACAGACAAGGCAATCTGCCCAGACTATTGTGAGGGGCGCGTTGCGGCCGGAGACCTCCACGCCCGGGTGGCACGATAGAGAGCGCCCGGCCCGGTAGGCAGCAGCGACCACATCGCATTCCTCGAACCGATTCGTCATATAGACCGCGTCGCGAAGGCTGACCCCCCCCCCTCCCGGCCAGAGTTCACAAAAGTACCCCCCCC